TAGCCCCCATCCCCAGCCTCCCCTTACCCACTCACCTTCCATTGAGGACTCAGGATTGGCCATGTGACCCAGTCTGGCCAATAGGATGAAGCAGAAGCCATGAGGCAGGTCTTCCAATAAAGCTTTTATGATGATGAATAGGCTAAGCAGACCTAGCTTTTTGTCCTTTCCCCTTAGTCATGTCCAGAGGTATAGCAGCCATGACAAGGTGACAGCCATGAGGACAAAGCCCTCCATTCAAATAGCAGCAGACAGGAAATATGACAAGAGCCTGGGTATCTGACATCATAATGGAGCCCCAGACCACACTGCCCAGTGTCAGCTTCCTTTATTAGACCAGTAAATCTCTCTCTAAGTCACTGTTATGCAGGTGTTCTGTTATTTGCAGCTGAACAGGACAGGTTCACACGTATTCACCATACACCTTTGGACTAAGACAGATTTAGGTTTAGATTTTGGCTAGTGACAGCTGAAATCTAAGTTTCCTCCACCCTCTCCACTCCCCCAAAACTGCTCTTGCCAAGGTCACTGTATTAAGGGAAATGACAATAGCTTTTGTCATAGATAAATATTGAAATATCAGTGGTTTAACATAATGAAAGTTTATTTCTTGTTCATATTGTTAACCTAAAAATAAAAAGCCAAAGTAAGAGGTAACAAGCATTTATTTGAGATCCAAAAGAATAGCTATTCAAGAAGCTGTCAATGTAAGAAACGTCCAGACCTGTTGAGAATTTGTATACGTTTATTTGAGCCAAATTGATGACATATGCCAGGGAGGCAAGATCTCAAATGCTCCCTAGAATGGCCATTTGTAGTTTCTTTCATGCATTTGAGAGTAAGGAGGGAACTAAGGAAGATTATATGGAGGTGGGAGGAAGCAAGATTGAGACTGGATTACAGGATAGTTAAAATTAAGGGCTCTCAAGGGCCGGCTGAGTGGCTCAGTTGGTTAAGAGCTCGCTCAAGAGTTTGAGCTCTGATCAACAGTGGTTCGAGTCAGCCCGAGCTGAGCAGCCGCGGAGCTGCCAACAGGTAGCAAGATGGCTCAGCTAATAAAAAAAAAAAAAAAATTTAGGGCTCTCTTGAGGGTGGTCACACTTTAGAAGGAGGGGTCTGAAAGGGGGCATCTCAAAGGTATGTTAACCTACCTACATGCACAGAAACCATGAACAGGGCTTGCTTAAGGCAAAGATAAACCTTTTACTAAAGAAGTTATATGCATATGCCTGGGATGTGACTACCCACCATGACCAGCCCAGTTAGGAATTTATACTCAGGTCACCCTGTGAGGTCACTTTCGATAGAACCCCGTTTTTCATCCACAAAGCTGTTGTACACTGATTCAGGAAGAAACCTGGTGTTCCAATTACGAGGTAAAGTCAGGGGTATTTATGAGAAAGGGAAGGGAATTAATAACATGAACAGAAGGAAGGACTTTCTATAGGAGCAGGTAAGCTAACGTAATTATGCTAATTCTAAAGAATGCCTTTCATATTCAGTCTCGTAGTCACAATGTTTGCTTTGCTGTTAGCTTTGCAAACAGTGGTTTGGAATGCAATGCTGCTTTAGGACCAGCACAAAGGTTATTTTGCCCAGTTTTAGCATTCCAAAGGTTTGAGGAGTAAAACAGCAAGGCCATTCCTCTGAGATGGCAGCTTCAACTTCAAAAAGTAGCTCCGTTTATATTATTTTTCACAATGTTACAGTCTAATGCAGATTGGTGGGGAGGACACTGCTCCACACACTATTTAGGATTCCACTATTTAGCCCAGCTGTCCTCTGGGTGCTTGCAGCCCACTTCATAGAGAATCACATAGGAGATGTTTATGGTCCAGGTCTGGAAATAAAGCACTTCATAACTGTTGAATAACAAGATTCAACCAATTTGAAGATCTAATCACTTTATTAAGTCATTCATGAATCAGGCAGCATCCAGTCTAGCAACTAGAAGGGCACTTCAATGATTTGTACAAAAGAGAAGATTTTTATAGACAGGAAGAGGGTTGGACTAAGAAGTTGAAAGAGTAGATCATTTCAGGCAAGGACTCCTTCCCTTAGGGGAAGGCTGGAGGTCTTATCAGGCAGATTACCTCACTAGTGTGATCAGGAAATTTCAGACTATTGGTTTAAAATTCCATTCCTAGGAGAAGTAGAGCTGCAATTAGATTAGTTACTAGTTTGGGGTTGGTGACAAGGCTTAGCAAAAGTGACTCCATTTTAGCCTGTTTCTTTTAACACATCCATATATATTCTATTGGCTAGAATTCACCCATATGGCCACACCTACACACAAAGGATGCTGAGATGCATAGTCTAACTTGGGAAGAAAAGGCAAACTGGGCAACTGGTATACACTAACACAGTCTATCTAGGCCACCAAAGACCTCCACATCCCTATATCCAGTGCTTACTTCTTAAGCCTCGTTTTATACCACCTGTCAGCAACATTGGGCAATGCTGGCCATCCTCCATCTTTTTGAAACCCTGTTCTTGGCATCCTTACCAACTTACTCTGTGTTTTCTCCAACACTCCTAGACACTCCTCTTCCACCCTGAGTCCTCTCCTCCTGTCCCTGAATAGTCTCACCTTTACCAGATGCCTCAATCACCACCAGTTATACTCATGACCCTGAATCTGTCTGACCTCTCCTGAGCACAAGACTCTGGCGTCAAACATCCTCCTGGGCATGCTCACATAGACGCCTCAAACTCAACATCCCCAAACTGTTAATATCCCCTTTGCCCCAAACCTGTTCCTCCTCCTGGGTTCCCATGTTGTGAATGGCACCACCATCCACCCAATAGCTCAAGCAGAAACCTGGCACCACTCCTGACATCTTGATCCCCATGCCACACACTCTCAATAATCAGAGCCCTACTATTTCTACTTCCTAAACATCTCTGACCTTCATCCACTCCTCTCCATGGCCATGACCTCTACCCAAGTTCATGCTACCATGAAAAGTAATATAATCATGTGCCATTTAATGATGGGGATATGTACTGAGAATCATGTCCTTAGGTAATTTCATCATTGTGCTAGCATCACAGAGGCACCTACACAAACCTAGATGGTATAGCCTACTACACACCAAGGCTATATAGTATACCACAGTAGTATGTGGGGTCCATCGGTGATGGAAATGTCATTATGCAGCACATGACTGTAAATGGGGCCACTTCAAAATGGAGTTGGAGCTGCCATCACAAAGGAGCTACCTTGCATATCTTACTCCTCAAACTTTTGGAATGCTAAAACTGGGCAAAATAACCTTTGTATTGGACCTAAAGCAGCATTGCATTCCAAACCACTGTTTGCAAAGCTAACAGCAAAGCAAACATCGTGACTACCAGACTGAATATGAAAGATGTTCTTTAGAATTAGCATCACTACATTAGCTTATTTCAGCGGTTCTCAACCTGTGGGTAGCAACCCCTTTGGGGGTCAAACGACCCTTTCACAGGGGTCGCCTAAGACCATCGGAAAACAAAAAGATATTTACATTACGATTCATAACAGTAGCAAAAT